AGCGGGCGGGCGCCAGGCCCCCAGGCCCCGCCGCGTCTGGCCACAGCTTCCGGAAGGTGACGCTCACCAAGCCCACCTTCTGCCACCTTTGCTCCGACTTCATCTGGGGGTTGGCCGGCTTCCTGTGCGACGGTGAGCGCCCGCGACCCCATCACAGACCCCAGCCCCTGGCCCAGAATGGGCTCCTCACCTCTGACCTCTGCACTCCCAGCAATGGCCTCCTCAGGACAGAACCGCCTGCCCCACGGGGCAGGAGTGTGCTGGCCTCAGACCCTGTCCAGGGAGGTGATAAGGACTGGCTCTTCCAGGGGCTTGGGGGCACCAGGTGGCTTCCCCCAGGACTGTGGGCCGCAGGAAAAAACTGCTCCCTGTGCTCCCTCACTGGGGTTGGGATTCAATGGGGGAAGAGCACTGTGGGCGGCGTGGGGCAGGTGCAGTGACTGGGGGATGAGTCCAGCCCACCCTGAGCAGGTGGTCCTTGTCTGGGCTCCTCAGTCCAGCAGCTGGGGCAGCAAGGGGCAGCAGTGTGGTCAGGCAGGGCTGGTCTGGGCCACTGGTTCCTGTACCCTAGTGCTGGGCCTTTTTTGCCCTGCATGCACACTGCTGCCCACAGGGCCAAGTGCGGCGTGCCCCAACAGGGCTCCCACCTAGCTGCCAAGCTGGCTGGCCGGGCGAGGAGGCCTTGCCTCCTCTGGCTCATTGGACATCGAGGGTGCAGGCTTCCAAGGTCTGCTCTCTTGTAGTCTGCTCCCTCTGGCAGGACAGGTGGGTGGGCCCTGGGGACCAGAGCTGCCCAGGGATGTGGAAGGTGGCATGTGGGGAGCCTTTTTTCCACTTGGGGAGACAGGCTTTTGTCTCTGGGGACAGAGGGACCACTTAACGCCAAAGTTTACAGAGAAGGCTTGACCAGGTCTGGGTGGAGGAGGCTGGGCCCTTCATGCAGGATGCCTTCTGCCAAAAAAAAAATGGCATGCTTGATCTGACTCCCTAGTGCTGCACCAGGTGGCCTGGGGGGAGTCACCCCTAGATTCTCTCATATCAGAAACACTGCCCTTTCTTACCGCCTCCCATGCCAAGAGGCTCACCTGAGCAGGGAGAAGTGCTTGTGCAGGCTGAGTCAGCTTTAGGCCTGAGGCTAGACCCAGGATCCCCGCACAGGTGAGAGGTGGTGAAGGTAAGGCTCCAGGTCTGAGGCTGGACCCAGGATCCCCGCACAGGTGAGGGGTGGTGAAGGCAGGGCTCCAGGTCTGAGGCTGGACCCAGGATCCCCGCACAGGTGAGGGGTGGTGAAGGCAGAGCTCCAGGTCTGAGGCTGGACTCCAGGTCCTCCTCACTGCGGTGACTTCCTGCAGGTGGGGCTCTAGGTCTAAAGGGCGAAGCAGCTCATGTAAAGAGGCTGGGCTTGGGGGATGACGTGGAGGCCATCCCTGGGCAGCTACATGGACCTTCTCCCCACCTCCATGGAGAAGGGGTGGTAATCTTGGCAAGCAGAGGGGCCTGACAAGGGTGTGGGAGGAAGAGCCTCCTCCCTTGCCTGGGAGTACCCAGGATGTGGGATGTGGGGTGATCGGGCCCTATCTCCGTGGGCCAGAGGAGCTGGGTGCCACCTGCCCGCCGCTGCTGCCTTCCGGGACAGAGCTAGTCTGGGTACCCTGAAGGGGAAGCTAGCTGGAGTGCTCACCCTTCCTCTCTGCCTCCCTGCTGCTTCCATGTGACTCCAGCCTACTGTAGTTTTTCTGAAGCAAGGTCTCAGGCTGTTCTTGCTAGCCTGTGGAGGACCGGCCTGCCTTCTCCTAGGGACGCGTGGGTAGGGCTGCAGTGGGTGGGAAAGGGCTGCCTCAAGGCCCCCGGTCACACTTTTCACCAAGGGCTATGTTGGAGAGTGAGTTCTGCCCCCTGCCCACTTCCCAGCTTCTTGCTGCCTTGTCTAACCCACCCCACCCCAGGCCCCCTGCCCCCTCCCCAGGCCCACTCACTGCTGTCTGTGCTGCCAGAGGCTGCTTCCTCTTGTGCTCCTCCTCCCATCCTGTTCGTCTCTGGGCCCCCTTCTTAGTGGCCTCGCGGGCACAGCGTACGTCTGAGTGCTCACTGCCTAAAGAGCCTCTGGGCTGTCTACCCCTCTGGGCGGGGGCAGGTGCAACCATCCCTGGGCTGGCCATCCTGCCTGCCTCGGGGGCCCTGGCCCATTACAGACTGGCCCTGGTCTCAGCAGGCACACCACACGGGAGGGCTAGTTAGGGGTCTTTTGAGTTGTAGGGGAGTGAGGGAAGGATGTTCTTGGTGAAGCTGGTCTCGGGGGAGATGCCCACTTACCTGCCTGCACCTCAGGGCCAACAGATTGGAGTGTTTCCCTGTGTGCAAGGGGCAGGGGCCACTCTCAAGACTCTAGGACACAGCGTCATCCCCACTCTGGGCTCTTGGGATGAGAGGTGGCGTGGGGCAGAGGATCAGGGTGTCCCTGGCGCTTCTGTGGAGGGAGGCTGTGACCATGCCCTCCCTCTGCCCCCACGACGGTGGAGACGGAGTCACTTTCTCCATTGCGCACGCTGGGTCGGAGCTGGGGGGGGAGCTGCAGCGACTCACCCCATGCTGACTCCCCTCCAGCTCTGGCAGAGCGGGCCCACTGTGAGAGGTGCACTGCCCTGTCAGAATGCTGGCACCTGGCCATGGCCCCTGGTGGTTCTGTTGGCCAAAGCCTGGGGTTGGACAGGGGCCAACTCATGCAACTCTCATTCCACAGTCTGCAACTTCATGTCCCACGAGAAGTGCCTGAAGCACGTGAAGACCCCCTGTGCGGGTGTGGCCCCCAGCCTGGTCCGGGTGCGTATGCAGTGTGGGCAGAGGGCTTGGGGAAGCTGGCTCTTGCGGCAGGTCCTGGGCTGAGAGGCTGGCTGGTTGGATGGGGTGGGAGTGTTCCATTGTGCTGCTTTGGGTCCCCAGGATGTGAACCCCTCCCAGGACAGCAGCGGGCCTCACTTCCCACTGGTTCTGACCACTCCTCTCGGGGGTCCCTGGCACCCAGCACTGCTCATCCTGCCTTTTGGTGGACCTCTGTCCCTGTGTGCTTGGTCCAGCTTGCCCCAGATGTGTCCTGAGGGCAGGGGAACAGGCCTGGAGGAAGCTGCTGGTGCCCAAGCTTCCTGGACTGCACAGCTGAATCAAACTATGGGCAGAACCAGCCGGGGTGTTCCCTGCAGAAAGGGCTGCCTGAGATCACAGCTGGCCTTGGTCCTACAAGGACTCAGGAGACTGGGCAGTTCGGCAGGACCCCTAGGAGGCACAGAGGGGCGGGCGAGGATTTAGGGGGACCGCAGGGGTCAGGCAGGGGGTGTGGGTGGCAGTGGGAGCTGTTGAGGGTGTAGAGGACGAGGCCTCCTGGCCCTGGATGGGCGCTGGCAGGTAGGCCCCAGGCTGAGGGGGAGCTCTGCTCCCTGCAGGTCCCCGTGGCCCACTGCTTTGGCCCGCGGGGTCTCTACAAGCGCAAGTTCTGCGCCGTGTGCCGCAAGACCCTGGAGGCCCCTGCACTCCGCTGTGAAGGTACTGCTGAGCCCCCCCGCCCCCCCCATCCTGCACCACTGCTGAGCCCCCCCGCCCCCCCATCCTGCACCACTCACCAGGGGCCTGATCTCTGCTGCCCAGGGTGGCCCACACCTCGCTGTGGCCAGGCAGCTGGGCAGGAGATGGGGTGGTGCCCTGGGCACTGATGGGGGGGGCGTGTTTGTGGGAAGCAGGTGCAGGGGGCCACGCAGGGAGACAGGAGGAGAAGCCGGCTCCCGTCCTCCGAGAGGGGCTCCCCTCCTGAGAGCTCCCACCCCAGGAAGGATCAAGGAAGTGTGGCCGGACTGGCCGGCCTTGGCAGAGATGCCCGCGAGAAGGGGGCAGGGCTGTGGGGAGCGGCGAGAGGCCCTTAACCCTGCCCGCCCCCCAGTGTGTGAGCTGCACGTTCACCCCGACTGTGTGCCCTTCGCCTGCAGCGACTGCCGCCAGTGCCACGGGGACGGGCACCGGGACCACGTGAGTGCACAGGGCCAGACGCCTTGGGGGGGAAGGCGGGGGAGGGGCGTGCTGGGGGGCTGGCTGAGCCACCGGCGACGGCCCCCTCCGCAGGACACGCACCACCATCACTGGCGGGAGGGGAACCTGCCCTCCGGTGCGCGCTGCGAGGTCTGCAGGAAGACGTGCGGCTCCTCCGACGTCCTGGCGGGCGTGCGCTGCGAGTGGTGCGGCGTGCAGGTGGGGCTTTG